TTTTTTTTAAATTTTATAAAATTTATTTATTTGTTTATTTTTTTTTTTTTTTTTTTTCCCCTAAAAGAAAAAATTTTTTTTTTTTTTTTTTTTTTTTTTTTTTTTTTTTTTTTTTTTTTACAAATAAAAAAAAAAAAAAAAAATCGAGCTTCGCAAATAAAGTTTTTTTTTTTGGTCTCACAATTTTGATTTTGAGAATTAGATAATAAACAAGTAATTATCGTTATCACTATAAGGAAAATGCAATTGAACGTGAATAATTATACGTAATGTAGTATGTAGTATGTACTGTACAGTATATCGATATCGATATGCATGCATGCATGAGAATAACAGATTCTTTCAATCGAGAGTTAAGTGTAACCATAACCGGGGAGAACTTAGACATACGCAGCTAATTCAAGATTATAGAATCTTGGCGTTTATTTATGTCCTTTTCATTTCACCTTCCCTTTTAGGTCTTTAAATAAAATAACTGATAAAGGTAATGGCAATGAAAGTAAACCGTGTAAAGGATTAAATAATATATTTTAAATTGCACGAATACATATCTTTAAAAGGCATTCTTATAAACGGGGGTGCGAACTTGCACCATTTGTAAAATACATCTTTAGAATTCAATTTAGAATGCTATACTATACTATAGTTATAATAATAATGACAATAATGAAGAACAATCATAAAGTAAAAAAAAACAAAAAAATCCTGCTATATCGATAAAAGATTGCATAAAAATTTTAAAGAAATATATAATTGTTGCAAAAAAGAAGTATTGTATTACAATTCATCTTTTTCATGTCTTAATTGCTCTTTCATCTTATCAAACCCTATTTTCTCGGATGTTTTGTCATAACCTTCCGAAGCTTTGTTTCTAGCGGCCTGATAACCTTCACCCAACTGTTCACCCAAATTACCATATTCATCATAAACTCTTTCTTTAATAGTATCATAAGTTTCGCCTACATATTCAGCAGTATCAGCAAACCTGGCTTTTAGAGAAGTCAAAAAAGAAGTAACCTTTTCTTCAGTGATATCCCGAATATTTTGTAGATTTCCAAACTGTTCCTTTATGACATCGGAAAGGATCCTTGCTTGTCCAGGATTAAGTTGTTGTAGCGTGATATCATGTTCTATTTCATGCAGGGAAAGTTTTTTGGTCCCCTTTTTTCCTCATTTCCTGAATTCTGCCTTGAATATCTTTAATGATTTGATTTAAACGTTCTTCTCTATCTTCCTTAGTCTCGTACACAGCTTGTTTCACCTGATTAGTAGCAGAATTGTAGTAATATACGACGGCACCAAAACCTCGATTGATTGTATCTTTTACATATTGAAGCTGTTCAACAGTTAAAGTCTTGCCATCTTGGAATTTTTGACCAATATTATCAAGTATACCCTGAAATTTCTCCTGAGTCAGAAGACGATAATCATTAACGGTAGATAACTGATTTCGTACTTCTTCAATAACAGTTTCAGCAGCACTTCCAATTGTATTACTAAGTTCTTTACGAATTCGTTCTAAAGTTCCATTAATGGACCGATAAGAATCACCAACAGCCGCACTTAATTTATCATAAATGGCGCTAATTTGATCAGCAGTCGCGATTTTATTTTGTGTCAATCTCTCCTGAATACCTTTAATAAATAAAAATCAAAATATAATCAATACCTTTTTAAATATGATCAGCAAAAAAAAAAAAATAAATAACGATAAAACAAAACTGTACCATGTAAAATCAGGCTGATTTGAGTTCCAAGACGTGATTTAGTAAAAGCCCCTGTCTCGTTCAATTTATTAATTTCTTCTTTAAACCAGTCCAAAGTGTTTTGAGAAACTTCCTTACTGGTTGATATATCTCTTTCAATTCTGTTTGAAGCATCATGAATAATAGCATCTCTACGTTCTCTAGCTAGGGCATAAGAGTCTTTGATTTGGTTAAGAGCCTTTTCTAAATTTTTATCCGTAGCAGCTTTCGTTTCTTTTAACCGTTCGACTATTTGATTAAAGACAGGATTAACCTGTTCTTCGGTGAGAAAAGTTGTCTGTCTAAGCTTTTCAATTTGACCAGCAATTTTCTGGGTGTATTCATCGAATTTCTCAGGAACCAATTCTTTCACATCATAGTCGTCGTCTATAATGACGTAATCAATCAATAACAATATATATAATAATGTATTATTAATAATATAAATTAGGGAAGTAGGTTTGTGCCGCAGTAAAACAATCAATAAACGAATTATTATTCATCACCTTTAAGGGATACAATATATTGATTTACAAAATCTTCCATAGCTTCTTTAGTTGACTTTGATACCTCAGTCTTATGAGTATTGACTAAATTGACCAACTCTTGCCTTTCTGGAATGCCTTTGTATTCTATGCGACGCTCTGACAACCATTCTTTAATTTCAGTTGAACTCCAAGTGTTAGGATCGTTTCGGTCTTAAAATTTAATAGAATGGATGAAAAAAAAATATCAATATTAGGCGTAAATTATTACTAATTATTATTATTATTATTAACTTCTAATTACCATACGGCTTCATGGTAGCTATAAAGGTAGGTATCACAAACAATATTAACAAGAAATTTAAAAATATTTTACGCGAAATATACATTTATAATGATTTTTTTGGGTTGACTTTTTTTTTTTGATACTAAAGCTTTGAAAGATGGATGGATTTTTAGAAGTCAATGGTAAGCTCAAACGGCCTCTTTTTATGAGAAAAGAGAGCGAATTTCTTGTGAGCGAAATATGATGTAATTATTGGCTAACGTAATTCATAGTAGTCATCTAGTAGTCATTATTTCTCACTTGACAATAGATAAATTCATGATACCACATTGACGCAATTGTTATCATTCGTGTAGATCCAAAGTTAAAGTTATACATTTGGGGTTACTTTATTTTTTTCTTTGACGTACTATGTACATACGTCCGGCAATATCCACCAAATAGAGTCAGCTCTTTCAATATGTTGATACATACGACATACGGCAGCAGCGGAGAAATAGTATATTTTGCACACTGCGGCTGTGAAACTCATCATGTGACCAGCACCTTTGGACCACTCCCACTACCAAATTCAAACGGTGGGTGATATAGTCACGTGCCTCGTGATCAGAAATTCTTTAGTGTACTGTTTTCTCTTAAATAGTGTGTACAATTTTCATCACTGAATTTACTTAGATAATTAGCCACCTAAAAGTGTTATTATTAATAGTATTACCATTATAAAAAATCACCAATACGTAGAAATGGTCTATCTCAAATAATAATCGATAATAATTTAATAATAATAATAATTCAATATTAACAAATTCATTAATACATTCACGCATTCTTAATTTTAATCATGTCAAGTATGAAGGACGATCTATTAAAAAAAAACTTTTATAATATCTAATGATTATTAAATCTATAATCTGTAATATCTAATATCTAATAAACTAAGTATTAGTAAATAACAAGCTATAAGCCATTGCGCAATGATCCATAGTAACGTCATATTGATTAATCCTACTACAGTTTAATATCGATATGAAAAAAAAAAACTTTTTAGATATCTTTTTTAGGGTTTGTTTTTTTCCTCATTCGCTTCTCCATTTAAATTTATTTTCCTCTTTATCGTTACTTTTTTTTGGTTCTGCAAAAAAGAAAAAATGGACGTGTTAATTTCATTGATACCATCACTATCAAATACAAGTGACAATGAAGTTGAAGACAATGATTCGACTAATTCAGAAAATGCTAATAATGGAGATATCATTCAAAGTAAAGGCGAAAAAGATGGTGGTGACATTGATAATTGCCGTACCGAAAACATTTTAAGGAATTTTAATCTTGTAGAAAAAAATAAAATGAAGAGATTAAATCAAGAGTCAGATGATAGGGATGAAACCACCTATACTACGAATGATGACAACGAAAGGTCAACATATAATTTGAGAAGAAAGAGAAAAAAACTTTTGAACACTGAAATAGATTATAATTCGCATGATCATGAAAGTGATAATATAGATGTCTTAACGGTAAACGATACAGTACATTCAAGCGATTCAGGGATAGATTGTGACACGCAAACAAGGCTGCAGTCTCCTGTTGATGATCTTTACGATAGTTCAGAGGCTACTTCAGTAAGTTCGGATAATTCGGATAATTCGAATAATTCGGATGATAAGCAACTATCAAGAAATTTACAAGTCAATAATAACGATAATGTGGACAATGTGGATAATGTGGATAATGATGAATTGAATAATTCCATCTCTAATATGATTTCTGGTGCGGCTATTGATGTTACTGGCAAAACATTACTGAAATTTGCTGGAGTTTACGTTAACAATATAAGAACGAATGAATTGAAAACAAAATTGTCGAGCATGCAGCAACTCAGAGAGGGGAAAAATCTCCATCCCATCTCCATAGGAAGACCGAAAGATTGTATTGAATGGCTTCGATCAGATGATGGAATGGCATTGTGGAAAAATAGACCAGCACGTATGATTCATGTTAAAAAGAAAAGATCACGAAAGCCCAATAGTCAAAGGTGAATTTACATTTAAAAAATCTATAAATTCTTATTTATTTAATGTTTTAAAATAATCTTTATATTTTTTAATCGGACTAAAAATAGGAGTGTTGTCATGCGTACCAGAAGCTTGTCACGTTCACGTACTTCCAAGCCAATGCGACGATATACTTCCAGATCAATACGAAAATACACTTCAAAGCCAACACGACAATATAACACTAGAAGCAAAACATCTTTGAACAAAAATAAAACAATATCTAAGAACAAAACATTAAGTAAAAATAATACATCAAAGAAAAATAATGCTAAGAAGCGCACAACTCGTCCAGTTAGAGGGAAATTGGTCCCATGCCATACTGGTGGCAAATCACGCTTTATGATGACATCTTATTTCCAAAATTTCATGAAATTAAAAAATCAAAAATCCAGCGGATCTTCTGATTTCCATGATTCAAACGAATCAAATGATTCTTCTGATTGTTATGATTCAGATGAGTCAAGTAAAGCATCTGGTTTTTATGATTCAAACGGATCAATTAAAGCTTCTGATTTTCATAATTCGGATGAATCAAATGAAACTTTCGATTTTCGTGATTCAGATGAATCGAATGAAATTTTTGTTCATGATCAAGATGAATCGAACGACTCTTATGGTTTTCATGACTCGGTAGGAACTGACATTTCAGGAGAGGATGAAGAATCAAATGAAGCTTTCACTTATCCGGGACCCGCAAAGAGAAATAAGAACCCGAAACAAAAAGAGCACATTGGCACTATTGATATTTGGAATGCAAGAAAAGATGACGAGAGACAATTTAAAGAAAAAAATTATTGGGAATTGCCATTGTTGGGATCTAGTCCTATTAAAGAGGCACATGTTCAAGTTTACGGTAAGAGATTTTTTTAATCAATAACAATAACTTTTCAACGAGATTGTTAAACTTAGATTGATTTTTGTAATCACATAGAATCTTCCACGTCGTCGACTGATGCTAATACTGAAGAATCATACTTTAATTTTAAATCCGATTTTAACTGGAGCAAAAATAAAATTGCAAAGAAAGTTGAGAAAATTGCATCTGACAGTTCAGATGATTCAGATAATCTCTCAACTGAGGATGAAGAAGAAACCGTTGTAATGTCAAGTGACGGCTGGTCAATGAGTCAGACATCAATTGAGACACATCATATGGAGTTTAAACAACAATGTCCGGTAAAAGGTAAATTGAATCAAGAATCAAGTTTATCAGAACTGTCTCGATACAAACCACGAATTGACCAAGATGATGATCCACAACCATATTCAGGGATTTTTAAAAGTTTAAACTTATCAACACCTACATACGAACCTGCGGATGATTCTTTATTTGATCAGACGCAATTCTCGGTTGCTGATTTAGATATGTGCTCTCGACCAACAACTCCCACCTCTGAAGTTAACATGTCTCTTGAAGAATGCATCGCATATTCACGTGAATTAACTCCATTTGTAAATGATAACGCATACAACAAAATTGATCAATCTTCTGAAATAGACTTTGATGAAGATGATTTACAAGAGAAGACTAAAGATGAGAGCTTGACCGATTATTTACAAGATTTTAGTGGTAACTATAATGGATGGTATACACCCATATGGGAGGTAGAGGATCCGATTGCGGACTTGTTTCGACCTTTATTAGATGAACCATGTGTCACTTAGCTTTTGTTTTAAATAGAAATGAAAAGCGTTTTTTTTTTCCTTTTTTACAGCTTTCCTCATTAAATTTTTTGTATATTATTCATCTTTTCTTTTTTTTGTACTTTTGCAAGTATTAACATTGAATTGCAAATTTAATAATTGCAAATTTAATAATTATAAATTTAAATGCAATAAATCATATATATAATAAATATTAATGCTAGCGCATTTATTTATCTTCCGGACGAGTGATTCGTTAATTATAAAAACTGGCTAGTTCAAAAATACCCAACGTTATCCCATCTCTTATTCTTCTTGTTTTTTCATTTCTTGCTTTATCTTTTAGATTGACCGCAGTGCGGTTTCTTAATGGTCCATGAGGTTTCCCGTATTTTTTTAGAATGTCCTCCCATCTAGTTCCAAACTCCTCCATTCCGCGTTCAAGATAGTACAATTCAAGATCCGTCCATCTTTGACGTTTTTGCCCACCGATTGATGTAGTCCTTACTAATCCACTTTCAAATACGTCACGGAGATTTTCATCATGTGTGCTTGATGTGTTTTTATTTGCGTCAGTGGTAATGGAGGTATTCGAAGATTCTATATTATCTGGCTTGAGCGGAGGTTGCTTAATTTCCTGCGGTTTTGGATTTAATCCATTACTGGGTTGCAAAGGAGGTCTGATTATTTCTTGAAGATTGATTACTCCTTGAAGAAGTTCGTCGTCAGAATCGTCAGAATCGTCAGAATCTCCTGGTAGAAAAAATTTCTTATGAAATGAAAAGGTATAAGTTTAAATACAGATATATTCATGCATAGTATTATAGAATGGTAAATGGTTTTTTCTTTTTTTAGGAACCAAAAATTGAAACTTGCTTTAACAAAATCTTCAGTAATGTTACTCATATTCTTTTAATCTAAAATATATGTTGTTAACTAACAAACGTTAGATTAAATTCATGAACTGATCGATCGTTATTGTTTATTTGTTTACATCTGTACATACAATCTACATATATATATATATATATCGATATAATGTAGCCAGTACCACAGAAGTTCTAACTATGCATGACTGTTACACAGTTTAATATTAAAATCAATATGGGAAATAAAGATGTTAATGAATTCAATTCACCAAATTTCATAGTTTTGATTGTACGTACTATGTATGTATGTATGTTACATTAAAGCATAATTCACTATTGATCAATTATCGCGTACAGTATTAGTAAAATTATGGAGGTGTAATTAAAGTTGTTAATGGTAACTTACCATGGTCCACTACCAGTAAGTTATCAATGGCCTAGCGAAACTTGCCGGTAATTTGCAAAATGGTAAAATATATGAATTTACCACAATTGGGAACGTGTGTGAGTATAAAATTTTGTTAATCAATTCTGGACGCAAAAATACTATTCCTGATGGATCGGCAATACCGATCTTGATGGAGTTAAAAAAAAATTGAGTACTGATCCTGATAGGTTCTAAAAACGAACCCTAAGTTTCATTAAGTTGTATAGTATTTTGGAGGCCCTTTTTTAGAACCCTATCAGGGAATGGTATGTAAATCGATTTTTTCCCACCCTATCAGGAACAGTACTGATGATCTATTAGGAACGGTATTTTTACTCGAATAGATGACCAATTTTTTGATATCTTTAAGGGTGTTTGACTCTAATATAAAAAAGAAGGCAGGGACCTTTTGTAACCCACATTCTCAAGACTTCCATGCCAATTCGATTTACGATTATTTGAGTGATTATTGTTCAGATTCGTCATCTGATACACCAGAAATGGGTGCATTTTTTTTAGATTTTTCTTTTATGGTTAGTGTTGTTAATAAAAGAGTATATTAGGTTTAATAAACTTAAATTAAAAACCCCAAATCTCAGCATCAGCCGCGACATTGAATAACGGGACGAATACTTGTTGAATAACTTTAAAATAAGTGTTATATTCCTATCATTTAATGATGGGTTTATTAATTATAAAAAGATTATGCATTCAATATATTTAAGAATTAGACATTTCTTATAGTTTTTGAGTTATACATTCATTATGTATAATACAGCGAATTATAAAAGAACTCGTTATGTTTTTGTACTTTTTTGAAAAGTTGGTAAGTTAAAAACCCGAGTAACTTAAATTGGGAATTGGTGAAGGGGTGCGCTATCTGAGGGGATGTAAGACTGAATTTTGAGAAAATATATTGGGGTCTAAATTATGATATTAAATGCTGTGCTTTTCGGTGTAAAAGTTTGGTTCAAACATGTCTAATATACTGTACCAGTGACGTTTTATCGTATGTAACATTCCTTAAAGGGTGCCCGAATTAGAACCACTGAAGTTCTAATATTGTATTTGATTAGAACCACTGAATTGTTAAATGTTGTAAATATTGTATTTGAATTTTAATAAAAAAAATATATATATGATACACAAATTTTTCTTCTTTTTTTTTAAAAAAAAAACTTACGATTATGAACCAATGGTCGACCCCGTGACCAAATTCAAAGAATCCCAAATACTGGAAGGTAGCTCCAAAGACCTCGATCTCAAAATAATATGAATCCATCTATTGGTGTCTTTACCGAAATTCAACGGTACAATGATTTGATTAAAGGCTCGAATCCATTTACCGAGTTACAAGATGCGGAAATTCCACAGCAGAATACTCAATATCAGACTACAGTATTTTTGCGTCTTCTATTTTAATATATATGCACAAAATATGGACATATTGCTTAATTCACATATCCACCGATTTGGTTTCACCCCAAAATTAGCCAATCATGATCGAGAATTATTTGCTATTAAAACTTATTACAAAGTGAGTTTTTACAACAACGGTCTTTTAAACTTACTTTTAATCTATTAGCTGAAAGTAAGTTAAAAAGGTAGGACCCGATCATGCTTATCGATTCAACCAATCAAAATTGCGAATTTTGGCTATAAGCAACGATAAGTATCTCTTTATTAATTCTGAGATTTGAATTTATGACTAAATTTTTTTTTTTTTTTGAAATTTAGAAACATTTTACAAGATCAGATATAAAAATCCATCGTTCTTGAAATGCTACGGGCTATCAAGTGATGATTCAGGAAATTAATTACCTTCTTATTAATACACGGAAGAGGAATCTTTTCGTAATAATCATAAAGTATCAAATGATATGGAAAGAAAAATCAAATATAAGTTGCCAAACATTGACCTTTAGGCAATTAATTTGTAAGTATTTGAAACATTGAAATAATCTTCATAGGGGAAACACTTTACAAGACGAATTAGATAATGCGTATATTACAGATTTGGGACTTTAATACGTACGAAAGAAGTATGCGAAATTTTACTTAGTTTCGAAAATTTTACAAGGAAAACAATATACTCAAGCAGTTGATATTCATGCTTTTTGTGTTATGACGAAATATCAACTGGAAGAAAGACTTTTGATGTTTATAATTTTGATAAATTTAATATATAAAATGATTTTAAATTTTATAGTATAATTACATGTAATTTTTATTTAATATTTAAAAAAATTTTTTTGGCATTTTCTAATAAATTATCCTCCATTTCTATATCATTTATTACTGTCCCGGCATCATCTGATTCGTCTTAGTAGTATTTTTAGTACTTTCATCAAGAAATTCTTTTTCATTTAAATCTTTTGTCATGCTTACTTTTAGAGCTTTGATGTTAATTTTAACTTCATCCCGTAAATAATCTAAACAAATTAAGCATTTAAAATTGCATCTTCGTAAGCAACGGTTATGATAACCATGCCCACATGCAAGAACAATACCATTCTCAGAATAATTAGTGTAAATTAGTGTAGTTAGTACAATCACAGTGTAAATAATCACATAAGATGCTTGTATATGGTTTCTTGCAGGTAATGAAGCCTCTTGGAAGGTGATGATTGGTTATTTCATAGTTTAAAGAACGCAGTCTATACTATCATTAGACGAACTAATAGTTGAAGGATACAAATGATGTGCTTTATATATCTTTGTAAATATATTTAAAAGGATCATAACACACTTGTGAAATAAAATGTACAATTGTTTTAGTTTGTAAAAATATTTTATAGAATTTACAAAGTATTAATGAAACACATTGTTTTTTTGATTTTGAAACATAAACAATATTTTTTTTTGCAATTGATCTACTATGAAAAATTTAGTTGTACATCATCAAATAATACTATGAACATTTTTATAGGATAATCACTTAATGATGTGTGATTATATTCATTATTGAATAACTAGTATTTATTCAAAAAAATATATCAAAAAAGAATATTAAAGAGATATGTTTGTAATTTTTCTAATCAAACTATAGAAATAAATCATTTCAATAATATAAGCAAGTTTTTTATCAGTTGTCTAGTCATCTTCTTGATGGTGTATTACTGTATTATATAAATATTAAGAATTTTTTTTTTACTTTCGCAATGTCACAAACAGGTGAATTTTATTAGATATTTAAGTAGTATATTCTTGGTTAATCTCATTCTGCATCACCATCACAATTACACTAGTTCATAATCTTGTGCTGCTTCAATTGAA